CACACACACACTCCATGAACCAAGGACAGGTGGAAACGGATATAAGAGAGTAAACATACCAACCTGCAGTTCAACTTTCTCCTAAATTACACCATGCAGCAGAAAGGTGGGAGAGAGGGGTTGGGGTAGAGAGTGGTTAGAAAAAACAAATCGCAGGCATTAGAGCAGGAGAACACAAGCAAAGAAAAGCAGCGCAGACCCAACACTGCAGAGAAGAGGACAGAAGCCCCTCCCCCCTCCATTACAAAACAACAGCCCACTTTCCAGTTTCCTAGGGAATGTCTCGTTTTATAAACAGCTCATGAATCAAATCAGATGGATCAAAAATACCACCCACCCCCCCACCACCACCAACAAAGTCTTTGTGGCAAGTACCACAGGGCAGTCTGTAGGTAAAGGGAGGTCACAGACACCCATGTGCATAGTCAGCGTGAGGGTTAAAGACTTAATTTAGTGCTTCAGTCGTAGGCTGGGTCAGTGTCCGTGTCAGCAAAGCCTGCTGAGAAAAGCAAACGCACTCAAAGATGAGAATGTAGCTGAGCAGGTAAATTACCCAGGAACAGATGCTTCAGAGGAGTCAGACAGAAGCAGGAAGCTTGGAGGGTCTTGTGCCTGAGGACATCACCCACACACTACGGAGACCTGAATAAGAGGCCCCACCAACCACCAGAAAGGCTCAGAGCTTTTCCATCAGCCTGCTATCACAGTGAGTGTGCACAGTTATAACTGTCTACGGGATGGAGTATCCCCCGTCACCGTCTACGGGATGGAGTATCCCCCGTCACCGTCTACGGGATGGAGTATCCCCTGGCCAGTGAAGCGGTGTCACTGTCGGGCCCCTGAGCAAAGGCCCTAAACCCCCAGTTGCTCAAGGGACTGTGTGACTTTGACTTGTACATCACTCTGAATGAGAGTTTCAGCTAAACAAATAAAATGTTCAATGACCCAGAGGAGAAGGGAAAAGGTTTACCTACATCAGTGAACCAGGATGTAACACATTATATATATACACTCGCAGTGAACTTCCTGTGTGTGAAGTAAAATGCCCGTGCAGACACACACACACATACCACATGGCCCTTATTAAGTACAGCCCCCCCCCCGCCGCCCTAGAAAACGGACTGCTCAGTCAGTGAGCGTCACATGCTCATTGCTGTGCTATTTAAAGCGAGCAGGCAGGTGTCCAGGGATCAGAGGGAGAACAAGCAGGAGAGAAGATGGAAGCATTTGGCAGGAACTGTGCCCCCTGGGACTCTCACACACCACGACGCAGTAAGTGAGCCGAGAGCGGCTCACCGGCCGCAGAAAAAAATGTAAAAATAAGAAACATAAACACATGCATCCAGAAAATTCCAGCCCTGTGATTGGACAGGGCCCACTTGCCGCAGAGCAGAGTAACACATGGGTCACGATGAGCTGAATGACCGCCGAAAACAGCAGCCGTAGCAGAGGAGGCGCAGTAGAAGTGGCTGTGACGGTCGTCTGGGTCGCGCTTTGTCTGCTATCCAAAAGCAACCGGAAACACAGTCTGATCTCGGAAATGTTTAGTCACTCATTTGAAATGCTTCACCCACTGTTCAGGTGGCCTGGTAATTCCTCTGCATGACTATCATGTGATCCAAACCAGTCTGTGTTCTCCACACTCTATTATAATGTTGGGGAATTTCGGGTGAGCGACAAAATGTTTCCAAAATCAAACAGCAAAACCAGCTGGTTTTGATTTATCGGGAGATGTGCATCGGGAGACAAGATTGGTCGACACTGACTGGGGTGATTGGCAGAGCGGGCAGCAGCCTACAATTTGGGAGGGAAAAAATGGACTGTTACAAGGGATTAAGGAAGACAAAACCTGGGGGGTGGGGGTGGGCTATCTGAGCATTAGCTTATTCAGCGAGTCGGTGATACAACTGCATGGGAACGGTTCCAGGAAGCAGGGCAGCGCTCCGACCAAACGGGAACGGTTCCAGGAGCCGGGGCAGCGTTCCCACTACATGGGAATGGTTCCAAGAAGTTCCAGGGTCAATCACACGGCTGAGGTGACATGCCACGGGCCGGCCAGAGTTAAAAAGCTGCCGCCGACTAATTTGTGGCAGCAATGGGAGTGGGCGGAATCGCGGCGGGTCAGCGTTTCTACGGAGACACCTCGCCGAGTCAATGCCCCGTCTAATTCAGCCTCTTCTGGGGGCGAGGTGGGGGGGGGAGGGAGGTGCGCCATTATACAGTAGCAGCTAATAAAGTAGCCACTCAGTGTATTTCAAGACAAGAACTCAGAAAGGGCTTGTTCTGGACCGAAGCCTGTTTCTACGGCAACCAGCTCACGGAGGGAGCCTGAGATACAGGCAGGGCCAGCCGGCAATACGAGGGGTGAGAAAAGGCAGAGATGACGGCTGGCAGAAGGGCCACGAGGTGGGCACTGGGGGGCGCTGCATTGCTCTGTTTGTGTATTACTGGATCCTTACGTGTTATTGACGATCTGCAGGCGCTCGCCCTTCTTGAAAGACAGGTCTGCGGCTGTGCGTGACTCGTAGTCATAAAGTGCCACAAAAGTGGTGACTCCCCCTGCAGGTAGTGGGGAGAACAGCAGTGAGAGCTCACTGATAAACATTTATTCCACTTACATGCAGAAATTTCAAACACAACCACAAATTCATTAAGCAGAACTGTATGCAAACATACACAAACATGGATCATTTAAAACACTGCAATTTATTATTATTTTGTTCAAAATCTTTTGACACAAAGTTTGCATATTTCTGTGCAACTCAGATTAATCTTTGGAGTAAACAAACACTAGCAAAATGACCAGTTATCAACACTGCATAACCTTTCTTGTCTGTTTTTTTTTTTTTAAATAAAAATTATTACAAGCACAAAGAATGAGCGACTGTGACCAGCTTGAGACGTCCTCCCCCTTAAACTTGCATGTTAGCAATTACTCACCAGTAATGAGGGAATTTTAAAGATCTTCTCAGCCAGTCTAGTTACTTTTAGAGTTTTTGAGTATACTTATATTATTATAAAACTATTAGAAAAAAACAAAACATTTTCATATAGTAAAGCTGCTTTTTTAAGACAATTTATGCAAAACACTGTACATATATTCTTTTTTTAGAAGAATTTTTGATCTTCCTATTATTATTATTATTATTATTATTATTATTATTATTATTATTATTATTATTTATATTTGTACAGCTATGTACATTAGCTGTCATGTCACAAGGGACATCGCTGTCACCATGGTAGCATTTCCATGTTGACCCTACTCGAGCACGACCGTACCTGCTAGCTGTCCTCTGTGTGGGGAGGTGATGGTCCCGGGGTGGTCCACCCCCCCAAAGAGGGCGAGTTCTGCATTGCTGACCAGTGGCTGAGTGCCCCGCCGGGTGCCGTCCCTGCCCGGGCTCCGCGTGGGCGTCAGGGACTGCGGTCCGGGGCTCAGGTGGTGCCCTCCGCCACCGCAGGGGCCGATGGTCCCGTCCAGGCTACGGGAACGCTGGCCCAGCTCCTTGGGTTTGCTTTTGGTCGCCCCCATTGTTGGGCCTGCGGGAGAAGCAGGGCAATGTCATGTGACCACAGTGACATCACACCCAGCAGCCCCACCACACCGAGAGGCATCTCTATGTACCAAGCTTACTTCTTAAGACCCACATGTTAGAAGGTGACTGGAAAGTCGTTGGTTCAAATTTTAGGGTCAGCAGAATGATTTCACCACTGGGTCTCAAAGCAAGGCCCTTAAGTCCCAATTGCTCCAGGGAGTGTCTGACCTCTCTGGCCCTCTCTCACCCTCTCTCTCCCTCTCTC